GTCTTGCCAGTACGTATATTTATCCGTTGGGTCTTTTGTTTTTTCCATGTATACAATCACTACTGGTGGGGTGCTGTAGGATTAGCATTGGACTTCGAACCACAAGATTAGCAGTTCAAACCCACCAGCTGCTCCTTGGGAACCTTATACAGGGACACTATGAGTTGGAACTGACTCAACGGCACTTAACAACAACATAACTAGAGATTGTGCTATCTATTGTCTTATACCTAATTTTCAGTTCTCTGAGTTCTGGTAGCCTAGTGTTTACAAATCGGGCTGCGAGCCACAAGGTCAGCAGTTTGAAACTACCAGCTGTTCTGTGGGAGAAAGATGAGGCAGTCTGCTCCTGTAAAGATTTACAACCTCAGAATCAGGGTCGCTATGAGTCGGAACCGACTCCACAGCACATAACCACCACCACTTCTTTTAATGGACTTCTAGTGTGGATCAGCACTAGATTGTGAACCACAAAGTCAGCAGTTCAAACCACCAACTGCTCCTCAGAAACCCTATACAGGGTTGCTATGAGTCAGAACTGACTTCACTGCACTTAACAACTTCTCATACTGAACTTGACTAATATTCCAATAAGTTGTTAACTTGTCTTGGCAATAGTGGCTATCTTTGCCATATTCCTGACGTTAGTGTGAATAACTTTAGTGTTTAGGCCAAAAAGATCTGTTAGTTTTGAAGTTGGAGTTTATGTATACTTGCTTATTGATTAGAAAATCATCTGTCAATTTTTTATTTTATTAACGAGTGTTGATTTTTTAAAAAATCAGTCATAGAGATTAGATTTTTTTCAGAATTTATTTTTATCATCAAGGGAAATGACTATATATTTTTAAAATGTAAATCTAGTAATTATTATTAACAGAATTTATGATATTTAATCATCCCTGCAATCCTGAAATAAATCCCACCTGGCCATTAAATCTTATTTTTTAATATGCTTTCAGAGTCTGTGTGATTATATTTTATTTAGAATTTTTTCCTCAATATTTGTAAGTGAGATTAGGATCTGGTTTTCTTTTATTTTGTGCAATCTTAATCATTTTTATATTAATATTATGTTCAATACATAAAACTAATTTTGAAGTTTTCCTTCATTTTCTATACCTGGATATTTTAAACAATGTTGAAATGATCTGTTCTTTAAAGGTCTGTAATAATCCTTCCTGTAAAATCATTTAGGGCTGGCATTGTTTTTGTTGAGGAGAGCGAGAACACTTGATGTTTTAGTGGCATGGTAACTCTTCATGATGGAGCGCTTCTCTGCATATGTTCAGTTGTACTTCTAGCCTATTCCCATGTCTTGAATGACCAAGGGCTCTAGGTAGTAAGAAGTAGGAAGTAGGGTTCCAGGGGAAGGAAGAGGTTGACAGGATAATAAATAACAAATGGAATGAAAGAGGAAAAGGAGGGAGTGATGTGAATAGGTGGGTGGGGCTGGGAGAAAAGACTGCAAGAAAAGTCTAAATTAAGGAGAAAAGATCAGTTATTTCTTCCCAAAGTCTTTTCTCTTGACTCTATATTCCATCCCTTCCTGGGTGTCTCTGTCTTATTTTCAAAGCTGGCAAGGCAAAGAAAATATCCCAAAGTTCACTGAACCCCTTGAAAGACTTTATGGGGGCCCTCAGTGCCACATCATCTGAGGGAGCTTGGACAAACCAACAAGAGTTGATGATCTGACCCTCAATTCTCTCTATTTGTGTTTGCCATGAGCCAGTGTCAGCCAACATGCCCTGTGGCTCACAGTCTTATTAACAATTATTAATACACATTCTTTTCATGTTGAGTCTTTGATGTTCTATGGCTGCAATTCTCACAAGAGGCTTTGGAATGACCATCCACCCCATTGTTCAGATAATTCAGCTGTGAGGTGGCTTTGCAAGGCTGTTGAGTTTGATGGGCATGGAGACCCTTCCTAGTACTCAGCCAGGAGCAGCCACATTCCCTTTTCTCTTCTACTTGCAGTCTCCCTTTTGCTATTTTCCAGTGAGGGAATCATTCTCCCCTCTGCCATAATAAACCTGGCCACCAGGGGGTGGTGGTCTACACAGTGGAAGTGGAAACTCTCTCCCCCAATTTCTGCAGCTGTAGGAACTTGACAAAGGCAAGGAAGAGGCAAGAGAAGAGTTGATATTCCTGAAACCACCCCCTCTCATCCCACCCTCTTCACATACACATTTTTGTGACAGAGAGAAGACTGTAGAGACTAAAGCCCTAGGACAGCGCTAAGAGTCCTTAAGAGACTCTATAGGTTGTTTCCCATGTAAACCACAGTCCTGTGGAAAGCAACTGTCCACAGCACCCCATGCCTAGTGTTGTGTTCTGGGTCAAGGAGGCTTCCCAGGATTGTGCGAGGGGAGCTGCTGAGTGGGCTGAGCTGTGTAAGGAGGCCAGGGGCCTGGTAAGGGCTTTACATTTAGGCCAGCACGGCTTTCCCTTTTGTATGCAAATGAAGTTCCTTCACCTTCACCAGCAACGACCCAGTCTAACCAGACCTTTCCCACCCACACACTTAAAAGTCAAATCAGAAAAACTTAGGTGGCTCATTTTAGAGCATTTAAATGGAAACGTGAGTCAGCACCAGACTGAACTCAGATTGAAGTACTACCGGGTTTTGGAAGGGCCCAGGCTTGCACCCCCAGCTGTGCAGCTCAGTTCTGGTTGCAGCTGTTGCTGAGTGAGCAGCAGTTACTGGTGGGGGTTCCAGGTAGAGTTCCTGTATGGAGGCTCTAAAAGAAGCTTATGAAAGGTTCTCTGAGAGGGGTCCTGCCATTTATCTCCCTTTAAGACAGCCTGGCACAGCGGTCCACTTTTCTGCAGGAATATTGTATCTTCATGTTCTTTTATCAGACTTATAGGACAGAATGGAGTGATCGATTGGAACTCTGAACTTGAAGTCAGAGATCAGTCCTTGCAAATATGTCACAAAGATAGAGATGGATATTCTTCTCTGATTTTCCTATTATTATTATTATTATTATTGATGTTTCTGTTGATTTATGGACTCCTTTAAGTGGCCAGACACTGTGCTAAGTACCTTATCAAATATTTACAGATGAGGTGGCTTAAGAAGGTTAAGTAATTTGCCGAAGCTCATCAAAGCTAGATGGATTTGAACCCAAGTATTTCTTACTCCAGTTTGTTAACCATAACCACCATCTTTGTCTCTTAAGAGCTTCTTTGATCTGAATGAACTTGATTGTGTTTCAAAAATGGAACAACTCTTTACCCTTTTTTAAATCCAGTGTAAATTTCTTCTATGGAATTCTTACTATGTCAGATTGGTCCCAACCTCTATGGCTCCAACCACTCCCATGATAGAAACGCAGGCTGAAAACTCCCTCTAGCCCAAATCCCAATGTCCACCCTCTCCTGGACTCCACTCCGACCAGTTGCTCTTGGCTGTGTTCTCTATCTCCTTACTATGCCTTGACAATCTATTTTGGAAACACCTCTCTGGTTCAGTCTCAGTACCGTTCTTTCAGACACATGCTAGCTAGAGCTCCTTCAGCTGATTATTGGAAGGGGGTGGAGGTATATTTTTGTATGAACCTTGAAGAAAACAATTTAGGTGGGCAGAGAGAAGTTGGTGAGCATATCTAGTCTAAGAGGCTGAGAACTGAGGCTAGGACATGGGCTGGAGTGGGGGTGGGGGTGGGAGCAGTACATGGGTAAGGAGGAAACCATCTGGCTAAGATGTCACACCCTGCAGGGGAGAAGTAGGCAGGAGTCTAGGTGTTGAAGTTCAGGTGCTGGGCTAGAATAGAAGGGTAGAGCAAAAAGCTTAGATATGCCCCCACCCCACTGTGGAGCTGCAGCTTTTTAAGAATAAGATTATGGAGCATGCCCTAGGCAAGCAGTGGCAAGAACCCCAAACCAAAGCAAGCCGACTGCCATCAAGTTGATCCTGATCATAGGACATAGCAACTGTATGGGACAGGAGTAAGAATCTCACTGGTAGATGCATATGGAACCTCCCTGTCTACTCCTCAGAGCGTAGCTTCACGGGAGAGTGAGCTTTAACTGTAAATTTTTTTAGGACAGGTCTGGCATTATTCATCTTTGTTTCTCTAGAGCCTGATGTTGGGTCAGATACTTCCTAGGTACTGGGGGATGATCAAATGAACCAAAAAAATGGAGAAAAGGAGGAAAGAAAAATGACAGAAGACTGAAGGGAGGAAGGATGGGTCCACAGTAGGAACTGGTAGTGATCTTGGAGCCTGAGTCAAATGTCTACCAATCTCTTCTCTGAGTCAGGCCACTGGAGCTAGTCCTTTTTTTTCCTCCCAGCTCCCATAGGGTCACTGTATACAAGCAAAACTCATCCTTCTGGTTCCCTTTGATTCGATTGGGTTAGAGATGAAACCAGAAGTCAATGAAGTCTTAGTTCACATAAGCAAGACAGAAGAAATATGATTCACAGACAGGATTTGACGCAAGGGGCAGTTGCTGTTTGTCTAAGACCTTTGTCTCACTCATATTTTGTTCCCAAAGTAAATTACTCTTGCTCACTGAGTCATTAGTGAAGTTTCTGGCCTGTCAGTGCCCAAACCTAAAACTCCCTGTGGTTGCACATTCTTTGGCAGGCTAGGTCAGGGGAGCCCAGTGAGCAGTTTCCCATCAGTAATGAGTCTCAGAATCTTAAGTATTGCACAGGTGCCTTTGAGCTCTTTGGTTAAAAGATAATTAAAAATGTAAAGGCGCATTTAGACAAAAATTTAAAACAATAGATTGATAATCTAAATCCCAGTGTACCTCAAACCACATTTTTGTTTACTTTTTTTAAATGTGTTTCCTGTGGCTTACTGTTGGTGTACAGTTGTTGTAGTTGCTGACAGCTCTGTCTTCGATAAAGTTTTTTGCTGAAATTGGTGTTTCCGAGACCCTCCTACCTCATAGGCTCAGTTGTACCCTCCCATCGGCAGTTGGCCAGTTTCGGTGGCAGAAGAGGCCACATCTGTTTCCCGTAGGCCCTGAGTAGAAGTATGCAGTGGTGTCTCCTCCTCATATGGGCTCAGGGCCTAAGGCAGGCTACTCTTCCTGCATCAGGTAGGCCTAAAATTCTAATGTGGAACTGTGGAAGGAGAGCTGGGCACAGGAAGGGAAGCAATAAGGCTGAATGTGGCATAGAGAGCAGAGGGTTCGGGTAGGAAAAGACTGACAGGGAAGGCCACATTCATCTGAACGGAGAAAACACTGTTTTCAAAGAGTCCTGTGTACCATCTTGTGAGAAAACACAATCTCTGAGAATGAGGAATAATTCTGTTTTGGAAGGCAAAGGATGGACCACGGGGTTAGTGGGACTGAGTGGTTGACCCAAAAAAAAGCAGGGGAAAAGAAAAGGGCTAAGAAGGAATGACTAATTTACTTTTGCTACATCTCCCTTTCTTCCTTCTGTTCTTCTGTCCTTGAGAATAGAAAGGCAGGAACCTTCTAGGAAAACACTGCTAAGTAGTTTTTTGTGGATCAAAATGCCTTCTCTACAGATTCTAGACATTCTACCGTTAGAGATTGAATTCTTGTTCAATTTATTTCCTTGTACATTAAAAACTGTAAGCAAATCATTCTGACAGAGAGGACACAAATATTTTAAAACTGTAGTATACATATGTTTTAATGCTGCTTTCTAAACCATTTGAGGGTGAAGAGATGCTCAAAGGATGCTGGGAGTGGTAAGTACATAAGAGATGGTTTTGCCTGGGAGAAATGGTTTTCCTCAAGCTTCCTTTTCCTTGAATTTTTTTGGCTTTTTTGAAGATTTCTTTTAGGCATCCCAAACAGCAATCAACCAAATGTTGTGAGATCCTTTCAAGTCAATTTTGACTCTTACTGATCCCACGTAACAAAGTAAAACTGCCCTATAATGTTTTCTAGGACAGATTTTCTGTTGAGGATGGTTGGGCAGAAACAGGTAGTATTTTATTCTGTTGTACATTGAGTCACTGTGTTCAGAATGGATTTGACAGCACCCAACAATTAAGATCTTTAAGGGAGCAGATTGCCAGGTTGTTCTCCTGCGGAACCTCTGGGTGGGTTCAAACTATCAATCTTCAGGTTAGCAGCTGAGCTCCTTAAAATCAACCAAATAGTCATATATTATTTCAACAAATATTGAACCCAGAGCAGAACTAGATTGCTGGAAAAAACCAAAAAACAGAACAGAACAAAACAAAACAAAAAGCCCAGATCAGAAGAGGCGGTGTTGGCTGACAAGAGCTTTTATTCTAAGTAGTTAAGTGCTGTTAAGTCAGTTTGGACTCATAGTGACCCTCTGTCTGGGTTCCTCGGCTTTAAATCTTCAGGGAACAGAAAGCCTAATCTTTTTTACTGTGGAGCAGCTGGCAGGCTCAAACTGTGAGCCTTGTAGTTTGCAGTCTAGCACTTATCATATGGAGTTTCCATGCTCCCATATTCTAAGTGTTGTTATTGTTAAGTGCTGTTGAGTTGATGTGGTTTGAAGTCCAGTGCTGATCCTACAGCATCACACCAAGAGTCATATTCTAAGTAGGGAGACAAAATATAAGCCTATGAAAATAACTAATGAACTAACCATTGAGTCATGTTGTAGCAGAATATCCTGAGAGAATTAAGTGCCAAGTTGTATAGTAATAATCAGGCACTGAACAAAGTGCTAATTATACAATACAGACAGTGGGTGTGAAATGGTAAGGAAGCTTGCTCTGGTTTGGGATCTCCAGGGAGGAGGACGAGGCTATGAGAGGACAGGAGGAGAATGGCAAAAGCAGGGGTAATGTGAGGGAAGGAGACTGTCTGAACTGGATTAGAGATACTAGAGGGGAAAGAAGACTGGAAAGGTGATGCAGGGTGGGGCTGGGAGCCTTGAATGGCAGGCAAAGAAAAGAGTGTCTCTTTAAGTAGGGGCAACTGGAAACAATTAATGTCTATTTGGAGGGTTGACAGACAGGACCAGAGAAACTATTGTTCCAAAATCCCATTCTTGTCTCAAAGCCCCTTGGCATTTCTACAGGAAGGTGTAAAGCCAGTATCTGACCTGGGGCAAACTCATGCATGCTTTTTTCCCTTAGGAGCTATGGCAGGGAGCATAGTAACCACCGGCAACATTTCTGCAGAGGAAGGCGGTTCTGTCACTTTGCGATGCCAACTCTCTTACACCATGGCCACAGTGATCCAGGTCAACTGGAAGCTGCTGGACCAAACTCTGGCCATTCACCACACTGAATTTGGGTGGAACATCTACCCAGCCTTCAGTAAACGAGTGATTCCGGGGCCTGGCCTGGACCTCACGCTACAGCGGCTGACCATCAACAATACAGGGGAATACTTCTGCATCTATTATACCTTCCCGGATGGAATTTATCAAGGAAGACTCTTTCTGGAGGTCCTAGGAAGCTCAGGTATTTCCTCTCAGAAAAGAAAATGCCCTCATAAAGCACTGTGTGATCTCTCAACTCTGCATTCCATGTAAATCACATGGATTATTTTTAATAATACTGCTGCATGGCCCCCACCAACACCAATGAAATCAGTCTCTAAGGATAGAACCTGGATAGGAGTGTGTTAAAAACCTTCCAGGTGATTCTAATGTGCAGCCAAATTTGAAAATTACTCTCATTGTATAATGCAGTTCTAGTGGCATTGTAGGTTAAGTATTGGGCTGCTAACTTCAAGGTCAGAAGTTCAAATCCACCAGCCATTCTGGATGAAAAATGAGGCTGTCTGCTTCTGTAAAGATCTTCAGTCTCAGAAGCCCCAGAGAGCAGTTCTACTCTGTCCTATAGAGTCTCTATGAGTCAGAATTGACTCAATGCAGTGGGTTTGATTGGCTTTGGTTCTTGGATAAGAAATGTATCTTAATTATATTTATTAGGAAGATCAGTTAGTGAGGCATTTGGGAGGGTTAAGGAGCTCTGGTAGCATAGTGGTTACGAATCGGGCTGCTAACCTCAGGATCAGCAGTTCGAAACTACCAGCTGGTCTGCGGGAGAAAGATGATGCTTTCTGCTTCCGTAAAGATTTACAGCCTAGGAAACCCTGTACAGGGTCGCTATGAGTCGGAACTGACTCCATGGCACATCATAACAACAACAAACTCTTTTTTGGGGTTAACATCAATCAAACCAATTAGAATAAATTTTATTAAAATTTTATTTGAAAATATTTATAAAGATTAACAATTTCCATTGAGCCAGTTCCAACTCAAGGACGCCCCATGTATAATAGTAGAACTGTGCTTCATGGAGTTTTTCAATAACTGACTTTTTGGAATTAAACCATTGGGCCTTTCTTTTGCAATGTCTCTGGGTAGTCTGGAACACCCGAGCTTTTGGTTAACAGATGAGCACTTTAACCGATTTGACGATTTATTGTTATTAAATGTCGTCCAGTCAATTCTGACTCATAGTGACCCTGAATAGGATTTCTGAGGAGCAGCTGGTGGGTTTGAACTGCCGACCTTGTGGTTCACAGCCCAGTGCTTATCCTACAGCATTGCACCAGGAAAACAAAGCACAGTATCTGCTAAGTGTAAATGTGTAATCATTTCATTAGTATGTTATTGTTGTTGTTGTTAGGTGCCAATGAATCAATTCTGACTTATAGCCACTCTATGCACAACAGAACTAAACTATACCAACCTTACAATTGTTGTTTCACTTGAGCCCATTGCAGCTGCAACTGTGCCAATCCGTCTCATTTTTCACTGACCCTCCACTTCACCAAGCATGATGTCCTTCTAGGGGGACTGGTCCCTCCTGATAACCTGTCCAAAGTATGGGAGATAAAGTCTCACCATACTAACATGTATTCTGGCTGGACCTCTTCCAACACAGATTTGTTTGTTTTTTGGCAGTTCATGGTACTTTCAATATTCTTTACAAAGAGCATAATTCAAATGCACCAACCATTCTATGGTCTTTCCTTATTCACCATCCAACTTTTGCATGCATATGAGATTACTGAAAATGCCATGGCTTGGGTCAGGCACACTTTAGTCCTCAAACTGACATCTTTGCTCTTGAACAATTTAAAGAAGTCTTCTGCAGCAGATTTATCTAATGCAATACATCATTTGATTTCTTGACTGCTGCTTCCATGATTGTAGATAGTGGATATAAGCAAAATGAAGTCTTTGACAACTTCAATCTTTTCTCTGTTTATCATGATATTATTTATTGGCCCAGTTGTGAGGATTTTTATTTTCTTTACATTGAAGTACAATCCATATATATGTATGCTGAGTACATAATCTGAGAAAGTGGATTATTTGAAGAAAACGTGGCATCAGGATTAGAGGAATACTCACTAACAACCTGTGATATGCAGATGATACAGCCTTGCTTGCTGAAAGCAGAGAGGACTTAAAATAATTACTGATAAAGATCAAAGATCACAGCCTTTGGTATAGGTTGCATCTCAATGTAAAGAAAACAAAAATCCTCACCACTGGACCAATAAACAACATTCTTATCAGTGGAGAAAAGATTGAAGTTGTATCATCTGCATATCACATGTTGTTAATAAGTCTTCCTTCAGTCTTGATGCACATTATTTTTCACATAATTCAGCTTCTTCAATTATTTGCTCCTCATACAGATTGAATAAGAATGGTGAAAGGATACAACCTTGGTACTCACGTTCCTGATTTTAAACTATTTAGTATTTCCTTGTTCTATTCCAATAGCTGTCTCTTGGTCTATGTACAGGTTTCTCATGAGCACAATGAAGTGCTCTGGAATACCTATTTTTCTCAACATTATCCACTGTTTTTCATATCTACACAGTTGAATGTCTTTGTATAATCAGTAAAGAGCCCAAGTAAATATTTTTCTGGTATTCATTGCTGTCAGCTGAGATCTATCTGATGTCAGCAATGATATCCCAAGTTTCATGCCCGCTTCTGAATCGGCTTGAATTTCTGGAGGCTCCCTGTCGATGAACTGCTGCAATTATTTTTGAATTATCTTCAGAAAAATTTTACTAGCATTTGATATTAATGATACTATTTGATGATTTTCACATTCCGTTGGGTTGCCTTTCTTTGGAATGGGCACAGATATGGATTTCTTGCAATCAGTTGGTCAAATAGCTGTCTTCTAGATTTCTTGGCATAGGTGAGTGAGTGCCTTTATTAGTTTTTTTTTAAGGATTTAAATTTGTATTCCATCAATTCCTGGACCCTTGTCTTTCACCAATGCCTTTAGTATAGCTTGGACTTCTACCTTTAATACTGTTATTACCTTAATCATATGCTACCTTTTGTAATGGTTGGACATTGACCATTTCTTTTTGGTATAGTTACTCTGAGTATTCCTTCTATTTTCTTTTGATGCTTTCTGCATCATTCAATATTTTGCCCATAGAACTTCAATATCGCAAGTTGAGGCTTGAATTTTTTTTTCAGTTCTTTCAGGTTGAAAAATGCTGAGCGTGTTCTTCCCTATTGGATTTCTAACTAAAAATATTTGCACAATTATAATACTTTGTCTTCTAGAATTTAAATTTTTGCTTCTTCATTTCTTCCATTCTTTTAGCATTTGTATGCTCAAAAGCCCCCCCCCCAAATAGATATATATATTTTTTGTCTTTTCTTTCTTTCCTGTCTTTTTGATGAACTTTTGCTTTCTTCATGGATGATGTTTCTGATGTCATCCCACAACTCTTCTAGTGTTTGATCATTAGTATAGAATGCATTGAACCTGTTCTTGAGATGATCTCTAAATTCAGGTGGGATATGCCTGAGGTCATATTTTAGCTCTTGTAGACTTGTTTTCATTTTCTTCACCTTCAGTCTGAATTTGCATCAGAGCAATTGATGGTCTTTCCACAGACTGTTTCTGGCCTTGTCTTGGCTGATGATAATTGAGCTTTTCCTTGTCTTTTCCCACAGATATAGTCAATTTGATTCCTATGTGTTTTATTTGGTGAGGTCCTTTTGTAGTGTTTAAAAAAGGGTATTTGCAGTGAATAAGTTGTTCTATAGCATAGTGGTTACAAATCGGGCTGCTAACCTCAAGGTTGGCAGTTCAAAACTATCAGCGGTTCCGTGGGAGAAAGATGAGGCGTTCTGCTCCTGTAGAGATTTACAGTCTCGGAAACCCTGTACGTGTTCACTATGAGTCGGAACGGACTCCACGGTACTTAACAACAACATCATGTAATTACTAGCATCATTTTCTATCACCAAGGCCATATTTTCAAACTACTCATTCTCTTTGTTTCCAACTTTCTCATTCCAATCACCAGTAATTATCAATCCATCCTGATTGTATGATCAATTTCTGGCTCTAGTAGTTGGTAGAATTCTTCAATTTCATCATCACTGGCTTTAATGGTTTAATGTAAATTTGAATAATAGTGGGATTAATTGGTCTTCCTTATTGTGGTGGTGGTGGTCTGCCTTGTATGCATATAGATGTTATCTTATCACAAGCAGTATTTATGTCAAGCTAGATCTCAAAATGTTCTTTTTGATGATTAATGCAACACCATTCCTCTTCACCTTGACATTCTCAGCATAATGAACCATATGATTGTCTGATTCAAATGGTCAATACTAGTCCATTTCAGCTCACTCATGCCTAGGATATTAATTTTTATATGTTCCATTTCATTTTTGGCAATTTCCAATTTTCCTGGATTCATAATTCATACATTCCATGTTCTGATTATGAATGGGTTAGTTTATTAGTTAATACATGATTTACCTGGATATTCAAATCTATGATCTAGAAAGTGTGAGAGGATTCTTCTCATATTCTTATAGCTCAGACTCTGAAAGCGGACTGTTACCTAATTGTGGCTGAGTTGACTTAGACTCACACCAACTCTACGACATAGTATAATTTCCACAGAGGATTTTCTAGGTTTTAATCTTTAGAGAAGCAGATCGTCATGGCTTTTCTAGCTGCTGGGTTCAAATTGCCAACCTATCAGTTAGCAATCAAGTGCATAATTATTGTTGCACCACAGCTGTGTCCAAATCGTGCCTTTGCTGTTGACCTCAAGCAAGTTTATTTAACGTCTGTGAACATCAGTTTTCTCCTCTGTGAAATGATGGTCGTGGTGGAGTTTTACGAGGAGCACAGGTAGGATTAAGTTATTTAGTTTAAGGAAATGCACTTAGAACATTTACTGGAATATGGTAAGCCCTATATTGACTATTGGGCAAAGGGGACATATGAAGCTTAGTTGTTTAGAGTGAGTGAGCTGATTTTAAACACAGATATTCTGGTTCCACTAAATGATAACCCTCAGAACTTTTATTTACTGCCCTCAATTGCATTGGGGATTAAGTTTTATGAGTTGACATGTGGAAATCAAGAAGATATTCCTTGAAGCACTCAAGGCTGTTAGGTTCATGTCTTTGCTATTTGCTCACTGTGTGAACCTGAGGAAG